ATAGGCTGTAGGATCTAGACTGTAGGACTAGGCTGTAGGATCTAGACTGTAGGACTAGGCTGTAGGATCTAGACTGTAGGATTTAGGCTTGTAGGATCTAGACTGTAGGATTTAGGCTGTAGGATCTAGACTGTAGGATTTAGGCTGTAGGATCTAGACTGTAGGATATAGGCTTGTGGGATCTAGACTGTAGGATTTAGGCTGTAGGATCTAGACTGTAGGATATAGGCTGTAGGATCTAGACTGTAGGATTTAGGCTTGTAGGATCTAGACTGTAGGATTTAGGCTTGTAGGATCTAGACTGTAGGATTTAGGCTGTAGTATCTAGACTGTAGGATTTAGGCTGTAGGATCTAGACTGTAGGATTTAGGCTTGTAGGATCTAGACTGTAGGACCTAGACTGTAGGATTTAGGCTTGTAGGATTTAGTCTTGTAGGATCTAGACTGTAGGATATAGGCTTGTAGGATCTAGACTGTAAGATTTAGGCTTGTAGGATCTAGACTGTAGGATACAGGCTTGTAGGATCTAGACTGTAGGATTTAGGCTTGTAGGATCTAGACTGTAGGATATAGGCTGTAGGATCTAGACTGTAGGATCTAGACTGAAGGACCTAGACTGTAGGATCTAGACTGTAGGACCTAGACTGTAGGATCCTGGCTGTAGGATATAGGTTGTCTGCCTAGTTGAGGTTCTGACCCACCAGGTATTTTTGCCTCTGGTCAAAGGAAAAAATGTTAGGAAGCAAAAGAAGTGAGTCTCAGCCAGATGATGTTTTTACATCTTTATTCATTCTAAAAGAAACAGACATGAATACACCATAAATGAGATGATACACAACATGGAGAAGGTAAATATTAGTCAAAAAATTGATGTTGTAAATAAATGCATTTGAGCAAACTGGTGTTCCTTAGTACATAAGACAACACATAGATGAGGACAAAAGAGTGAAATACATTACTCTGTCACTCACATGGGTCAAACWAGGACATTAAAATCAAAAGAAAACAAATGAAACTGGTATGTTCTTAGACCAGGATACCTTAAACCTGTCTCACTGTTTTTACAGAAAGTGGCATTCAACACYGTACGCACTACAGTCTGTATAGATTTGTTGTGATGCTACAGAGTAGCTTCCAATAATAAATTCAAACCACCCCCACCCCACCCCAACCCCACAAAATAAATTTAAAAATAAAACAAYGGGACCTTTATTTTGTAGTTGAAGATTCTTTACTTCCTGTCCGGGTAGATTCCTAAATGTAAAACAGGAGAGTGGATTTCCAAGCTAGAGTCTTTGTTTGGCTCACAGCGTGAAGGAGTGAATTAGAGTGAAATATATATATATCTGGTATATATAGTATCTTCKGGTATCAGACTTAATGTTGCATTTAGGTTTTGGAAATTTGAGACGACCTTTTCTGTTTCATCTTGTTTGACATAAAATGGTTTCCTTTACCTCCTCATGTGTTCTCTGTTCAAAACATTTTGATCCTGAAAACAGTCTACCGGTACTTTATGYTTTGTTTTTGTTTTTATYTATTTGTTGCTTGGTGGTGGGGGTGGATTTACCATGTCCTGGATGACTGAAGGTCTACACCAGAATAAATAAAATGAAGACATCKAAACAAAATGCAAAGAAAGAATCTCAACAGATGTATACAGAACTGCTGGCAGAAAAGCTGTGGACAAACATCCTTTTGGACGGGACAGAAACATCCATGTCAACAAATACAAACAGGTTATAAGGCACTGCAGTAAAACAATATATGTAGTAAATAAAAAAAACAATGGAGAATATACACCCAGTCAATTAAATTGTTACAGGAAACCTACCCTGAATGACTCTCTCCTAAAGACAACAATACAGACAAGGATATCATCTCTACACCCCTCTAAAAGCATAGTTTTCTTTTATTATGTCTCCCCAAATAATTTCATTAATGTCCAAAAAATATTTGTTGCTGCAAGCTGCCTGAAACAGCTTTTCAAGCAGTTCAAATTTTGTTCTTGTCTGTTTTGAATTCCTCAGTGAGAGGGGTTTGCATGCTGACAGAATCTAAACCATGGTAAGGCCAGAAGACTCTCCCAAACTACAAGTACTGCTCCCTTTTCTCTGGTGGAGTACTTTTAACATTTGGTCTGCAATTCAAAAAGGAAAAAGAGACACATTTCAGTCAAGGTAGTCACATAAAACTAAATAAACCCAAAAGACACATGTACAGTATAATACCTAGAGGTCACAGGATATGAGTGACATTACAAACCAGCTCTGTGGTTCAGCTTGTGAACTTGCAGCCGATGATATGAGGGGGGAAAGGATCGGATCATTTATCCTTTAAGAGTCCGTATTTATAGTGAAGACAACTGCCTAAATCTTGTTTTTCACTGAAACTGACATCATGCAGATGTCATACTGAGAGAGAAACCAAAGAGAGTCGTTGACAACGATTCCAATTTGGTGGTCAAAGACGTAACATGAAGATAAGGGAGGGATTCAGTGGTTGGAAAGTCGGACAGTCCTCAATTAAAAGGCGGGGGCTGATCAGTCAGGGAAACTAGTTTCACTCAACAACTCTGCCCTGAATTAAAGGAGAAAAGAAGACAATCAGAGAAAAAAGAGGGAAGACAGGAGGGAAAGTAAGGAACACATTAAGACCTCTGAAATCCCCAGTGTTAAAAGTAAAGAATGGTTGAATTTTWGCAAATCAGTGGTGGTGCTACAACAGAGCTGACATGCTGTGTTTAATAAATGAACACAAATTCTAATAGTTTGATAATAAATTAAATAAAACATGGTAACTACAAATTTTAAACATAAAGTACTAAGATTAAATGATGAAGCTGGTATTTCAGCTCTGCTATTTTAGAGCAGATAAATAGGAGAAAGATGAACTCACTTCTGTCCAAAAGTCTCCCAAATCTGACTAAAGTAACTGTATAAATTTTATATTATATTTGATTTAATTACGAAATGTTTAAACTGTTTCCACTCAGCAATCATTTACTAAATGATTGTGTTAGGTGCTCACATGATGTGGCATCATATTGATGGCAGATTGTGAATTAAAATCATCACGTGTCAGACATTGTGATATCAAGAAACTATGGGGTGCCAGGTGTRAAATGAAATGTTCAAACATTTCAATAAAAAAATTTTCATTGTTTAGTTCATTGCGTGTTAAACATTTTCCACTGACATTTTATTGTTATTTAGCTCACTGTTCTTACATTTAGATAATTTTTACTAACTTAAATTTAAATGTTCAAAAATGTATTTACATATTAAATCCTAAATCCAAAAATTTAAATCTAAATGTAAAAGTTAAACCTTAAATGTTGAAGTTAAATGTTGAAATTCACATTTAGATATTTTGGAATGTAACGCAGCCTTTGCTGTTGGTGCTCGACTCATGTTATACTGTCATCATCCTGAGACAATAGCAACTGCAATCGCTCCAGTGCAGCTAGCTTCCCTACAAGACGTCAAACTTGCCATTTTGGCTGGTGTCTGAGCTGTACTTCAAACTGTTGGACCACAGGTACCATCCATATTGATTTTTATAAACACATTTTGAATTTAGATTTTAAATATTATCTTCAGCAGCATTAGCAGCGGCTGGCGGTGGCTGGAAGCTGCACAGACCTTATATAGAGTAGACCCATGGGCGTAATCGCCATAGGTACGGGGTGGGACATGGCCCCCCCCACTTCCCATATC